CATTAAAGAGTCCTCTCCTGCTGATGTTCAGGTGTATATCAGTATGTAGTGTCTCCACTTTAAAGAGTCCTCTCCTGCTGAAGTTCAGGTGTATATCAGTATGTAGTATCTCTACTTTAAAGAGTCCTCTCCTGCTGAAGTTCAGGTGTATATCAGTATGTAGTGTCTCTACTTTAAAGAGTCCTCTCCTGCTGATGTTCAGGTGTATATCAGTATGTAGTGTCTCTACTTTAAAGAGTCCTCTCCTGCTGATGTTCAGGTGTATATCAGTATGTAGTGTCTCTACTTTAAAGAGTCCTCTCCTGCTGATGTTCTGGTGTATATCAGTATTTAGTGTCTACTTTAAAGAGTCCTCTCCTGCTGATGTTCAGGTGTATATCAGTATGTAGTGTCTCTACTTTAAAGAGTCCTCTCCTGCTGATGTTCAGGTGTATATCAGTATGTAGTGTCTCTACTTTAAAGAGTCCTCTCCTGCTGATGTTCAGGTGTATATCAGTATGTTGTGTCTCTACTTTAAAGAGTCCCGTGCAGAACCGTGCAGAGTGATGTACACGTAGTAATATAGAATATACTTTATATATAACAGCAGGAGGTGGATATCAATATACCTTAATATATAAATGAATATGCAGTGATAACAAAAGGCAGTGTTGTTGATCAGTGGAGTCACTAGTGAAACTGTGTACTTTAAGAACACACCTGATGTTTAGAGAATGTCATATTAGGAAAAAACATACCAATAAATACATCTGCACTCTTGTAAGGCTAATAGATCACTTTATTTAGTAAAGTACAAAACAGTCAAATGTAATGAAGAAAAAGCAATACTCCATTGAATTATATTAAAGAAAAGACTGTAATAAAAAAGCCAGAATCCACTTTACAAAACCTTCATTATGCCCACACTGTAAGTATTAAGAATACAGTAAATCTCCAACATGTCTGCCCCTGTCTCACGACCCACCTCTAGAGGGACTCACATGTTTTGCTGTCCTCTCACTTTGATGCTATTAAGCCAAACAAAGCAAAAACCTGGTCAATATAAATCTTATTATAACTCTGCTCGCTTTGCCTTTGTAATATGGTTATAACAATTGTGCCATAGTTTAAAATACAGCATTAAACTATTATTTTTTGGGTTTGTTGACGGTGGCGTAGAGGAGGCTGGGATCAGCGGAGGCAGCAGAGGAAGAAGAGGGAGCTCTCACAGTGCTGTAGGTCACTTCACCATCTTCATCATCATCATCATGAGCCTGCAGGGAAAGAAAAGGGATTATACAGAAAGGAGTTCTGAAAGTCCTGCTTTTTGCTGCCATTAAACAACTTAAAGGGGTCCTCTCCTGCTGATGTTCAATATCAGTATGTAGTGTCTCTACTTTAAAGAGTCCTCTCCTGCTGATGTTCAATATCAGTATGTAGTGTCTCTACTTTAAAGAGTCCTCTCCTGCTGATGTTCAATATCAGTATGTAGTGTCTCTACTTTAAAGAGTCCTCTCCTGCTGATGTTCAATATCCGTCTGTAGGGTCTCTTCTTTAAAGAGTCCTCTCCTGCTGATGTTCAATATCAGTATGTAGTGTGTCAACTTTAAAGAGTCCTCTCCTGCTGATGTCCAGGTGTATATCAGTATGTAGTGTCTCTACTTTAAAGAGTTCTCTCCTGCTGATGTTCAGGTGTATATCAGTATGTAGTGCCTCTACTTTAAAGAGTCCTCTCCTGCTGATGTTCAGGTGTATATCAGTATGTAGTGTCTCTACTTTAAAGAGTCCTCTCCTGCTGATGTTCAGGTGTATATCAGTATGTAGTGTCTCTACTTTAAAGAGTCCTCTCCTGCTGATGTTCAGGTGTATATCAGTATGTAGTGTCTCTACTTTAAAGAGTCCTCTCCTGCTGATGTTCAGGTGTATATCAGTATGTAGTGCCTCTACTTTAAAGAGTCATCTCCTGCTGATGTTCAGGTGTATATCAGTATGTAGTGCCTCTACTTTAAAGAGTCCTCTCCTGCTGATGTTCAGGTGTATCAGTGTGTGTGTGTGTGTGTGTGTGTGTGTGTGTGTGTGTGTGTGTGTGTGTGTGTGTGTGTGTGTGTGTGTGTGTGTGTGTGTGTGTGTGTGTGTGTGTGTGTGTGTGTGTGTGTGTGTGTGTGTGTGTGTGTGTGGGTGGGTGGGTGGGTGGGTGGGTGTGGGTGTGCCGCCGCCGGCTGTCAGTGGCGGAGTCGGTCACTCTGTGATCCGCTCCGTCACAATGCCATCAGTGTAATCAATGAGAAATCTTACCCTGGCTTTCCTGCTGCTCTTCCTGGTGTAGCTGATGGAGGCGTAGGAAACACCATCTTCAGGGTCAGCCTGCACAAATAAAATGTACATCTGCTATGTAACATGCAGCGTTAAAGTGACCTACTATTATTCCCATTTCATTGAATTCTAGTTGCTGTATAGGTTTCATCGTATTCAACATCCATGCATTGTAATCAATGGCAACAGAGCAAAGACAATACTGCCATTATTATAACTTTAACCCTGTGGTCATTTTGAGACTGTTGTGTGTGTTGAAAAAAGTGAATAATACAATATTTAAACTCACCACGTTGTCATCGGTCTGGGTTTCATTCCCTAAATAGAATAAAAAAAGAAAGTTGGTTTTAGCTTCAACATTTAAAATCCATGTTGATCAAAAGCTTCTTGTTTATAAAGTATATGTCAAGGGGTGAACTCGGAGACATGAACCCAAATGCACAACTCAGACTCAGACTCAGATGGTTTAAAAAATAAAGTACTTTACTGGATATTTCACAGTAACAAAATAGAGAACACAAAATCACTCTTTCGAGGAAAACTAAATACTACCATAAGGAGCTTGAAACAAAACAACAGACATGGATCAGGCTTGAAAGTACGCTGGTATGTCGAGTCATGAGAGAAGACGAACTGGCACAGGACAGGTGGAGACTAAGACCATATATACACACAAGGTAAGGGGCACAGGAGGAAACAATCAGGGCGGGGTAGACAATCACAAACGCAGGAGACACATAGGGGCGGGGAACACAGTGACCTGAAACGAGAGGGAGAATTACTTTTCAAAATAAAACAGGAAGGCACATGACAAAGGCACAGGACAAAGGGACATGACAAAGGGCATGACAAAGGGCATGACAAAGGGACATGACAAAGGGACATGACAAAGGGACATTTAAAGAATAAACTTTAAAATGATCTTTCGAGACATGACAGTATAATGTGTGAATGTCCTCACCTTGAGTCCTCTTCCGTCTGAGGACAGCCACAGTGATTATTGTGAGTGCTGCAACACCCACTATCACTACGATGATCCACCACCACCAACCTGGAAGAGAGAAGTTACAAGAGTTACATATACTCAGAGGTTTTTATATCCTTATCTTTAACATCTGGATGAACAACTTGTATTTTGGCTACGTTTATTTTCTAACTGTTGATATGTCTGTTCTTTCACTACCTGGATGTTTCCCGTCTTGTTCTGATGTAGTTGTCATTTCATCATTACCTTAACAAATACAATAGAAAAATCATAGAATTCTCTTATAGTAAAACTTTAGATACAAATAATATATATTGTGTAACATCCACATGTGTTTTTAAACAGTTGATCTTAACCTCACCTGGGGGCTGAGGGGGGCTGAAGGTGAACAGCTGTTTTTCTTCATTGTTAGTGTACATCACCTGACATTTAAACAACCCACGATAGATTGGCTTCTCCTTTGAAGAGCTAGAAAATGTAACGGCAGCTGAGCAGTAGGTCCATGATGTCTGAATGTCTCTGTTATCTTTAACCACATTTTGATCCCCATACAGCCACTCTACTGTGTGTCTACACCATCCATATGACAACACAGAGCAGCGCAACGTCACCTCATCAGTGTCCCGATGCTCAGTCACTGAAGATAGAGATATTGTGAGAGAAAGACAACAAGAGTAACATTCACTTCATCCCTGTAATCATTATTATTGTAATGTTTCAATAAATTGTTTCAACAAGACTGTTATGATGTAAATACTCACTGGTAACAACAGACAGATAAACCCGAGAGGTTTGACCTTGTTGTCGTCCTGGTCTGATCTGTCTGCAGGTGTAATAACCAGCATCCTCCTCTGTGACCTTCTTTATAACCAGAGAACATTTCTCTGTTACTCTCAGTCTGTCTGATTTACCTTTGGCTTCGTTGAGAATCTGCCCGCCTTCAAACAGCGTCACTGCTGGTGTGTTTAGTGCATAATAGAAGAGCCAGGAAGTACTGTCACACTTATCCTGATCATGTATCACATTGTCACAAGGCAAAGTGACTTCATCTCCAGCTCTGACAGTCAAGTAGGAAGGTTTCCCATTTGCTGCTGTTGAAAAACACAGACAGAGTTCACTAAAGTCACCACGTTGCAAACACAACTCATCATTCTCAGTTAAAGGAACAGTACGTAGTAAAGTACCATTAGTGATATTAAAGCTGTTTTATTTAAAGTGTGTTCTCTGCATCCTCACCTGTAAAGTGGAGCAGCAGCATCAGGAATGAAGACATTATGATCCTTCTGAATTCAGACATCGTGCTTCTCTCTCGGTCTCTGGCTCTCGACTGTCAGAGTCTCTGACCGGCTGCTTCTTTATTTCTCTTCTGAGAACTGAAGAAGTGTTTCTGAGGATGTGGTTAACATCAGCAGCAGCAGAGCTCTGGAGGTGTTACCCTCTGATGCTGACCAGATAAGAGCAACAAGCAGAACAATGCAGAGTGATGTACACGTAGTAATATAGAATATATATACGTTATATATAACAGCAGGAGGTGGATATCAATATGCTTTAATGTTCAAATTATGAATATGCAGTGATAACAAAAGGCAGTGTTGTTGATCAGTGGAGTCACTAGTGAAACTGTGTACTTTAAGAACACACCTGATGTTTAGAGAATGTCATATTAGGAAAAAACATACCAATAAATACATCTGCACTCTTGTAAGGCTAATATATCACTTTATTTAGTAAAGTACAAAACAGTCAAATGTACTGAAGAAAAAGCAATACTCCATTAAATTATATTAAAGAAAATACAGTAATAAAAAAGCCAGAATCCACTTTACAAAACCTTCATTATGCCCACACTGTAAGTATAAAGAATACAGTAAATCTCCAACATGTCTGCCCCTGTCTCACGACCCACCTCTAGAGGGACTCACATGTTTTGCTGTACTCTCACTTAGATGCTATTAAGCCAAACAAAGCAAAAACCTGGTCAATATAAATCTTATTGTAACTCTGCTCGCTTTGCCTTTGTAATATGGTTATAACAATTGTGCCATAGTTTAAAATACAGCATTAAACTGTATTATTTTTTGGGTTTGTTGACGGTGGCGTAGAGGAGGCTGGAATGAGTGGAGGCAGCAGAGGAAGAGGAGGGAGCTCTCACAGTGCTGTAGGTCACTTCACCATCTTCATCATCATCATGAGCCTGCAGGGAAAGAAAATTGATTATGCATAAAGGAGTTCTGAAAGTCCTGCTTTTTGCTGTCATTAAACAACTTAAAGGGGCCCTATCCTGCTGATGTTCAATATCAGTATGTAGTGTCTCTACTTTAAAGAGTCCTCTCCTGCTGATGTTCAATATGAGTATGTAGTGTCTCTACTTTAAAGAGTCCTTTCCTGCTGATGTTCAATATCAGTATGTAGTGTGTCTACTTTAAAGAGTCCTCTCCTGCTGATGTTCAGGTGTATATCAGTATTCAGTGTCTCTACTTTAAAGAGTCCTCTCCTGCTGATGTTCAGGTGTATATCAGTATTCAGTGTCTCTACTTTAAAGAGTCCTCTCCTGCTGATGTTCAGGTGTATATCAGTATGTAGTGTCTCTACCTTAAAGAGTCCTCTCCTGCTGATGTTCAGCTGTATATCAGTATGTAGTGTCTCTACTTTAAAGAGTCCTCTCCTGCTGATGTTCAATATCAGTATGTACAGTAGTGTCTCTACTTTAAAGAGTCCTCTCCTGCTGATGTTCAATATCCGTCTGTAGTGTCTCTACTTTAAAGAGTCCTCTCCTGCTGATGTTCAGGTGTATATCAGTATGAATTGTCTCTACTTTAAAGAGTCCTCTCCTGCTGATGTTCAATATCAGTATGTACAGTAGTGTCTCTACTTTAAAGAGTCCTCTCCTACTGATGTTCAATATCAGTATGTAGTGTCTCTACTTTAAAGAGTCCTCTCCTGCTGATGTTCAGGTGTATATCAGTATGTACTGTCTCTACTTTAAAGAGTCCTCTCCTGCTGATGTTCAGGTGTATATCAGTATGTAGTGTCTCTACTTTAAAGAGTCGTCTCCTGCTGATGTTCAGGTGTATATCAGTATGTAGTGTCTCTACTTTAAAGAGTCCTCTCCTGCTGATGTTCAGCTGTATATCAGTATGAATTGTCTCTAGTTTAAAGAGTCCTCTCCTGCTGATGTTCAGCTGTATATCAGTATGTAGTGTCTCTACTTTAAAGAGTCCTTTCCTGCTGATGTTCAGGTGTATATCAGTATGTAGTGTCTCTACTTTAAATAGTCCTCTCCTGCTGATGTTCAGGTGTATATCAGTATGGAGTGTCTCTACTTTAAAGAGTGCTCTCCTGCTGATGTTCAGGTGTATATCAGTATGTAGTGTCTCTACTTTAAAGAGTCGTCTCCTGCTGATGTTCAGGTGTATATCAGTATGTAGTGTCTCTACTTTAAAGAGTCCTCTCCTGCTGATGTTCAGGTGTATATCAGTATGTAGTGTCTCTACTTTAAAGAGTCCTCTCCTGCTGATGTTCAGGTGTATATCAGTATGTAGTGTCTCTACCTTAAAGAGTCCTCTCCTGCTGATGTTCAGCTGTATATCAGTATGTAGTGTCTCTACTTTAAAGAGTCCTCTCCTGCTGATGTTCAATATCAGTATGTACAGTAGTGTCTCTACTTTAAAGAGTCCTCTCCTGCTGATGTTCAATATCCGTCTGTAGTGTCTCTACTTTAAAGAGTCCTCTCCTGCTGCTGTTCAATATCCGTCTGTAGTGTCTCTACTTTAAAGAGTCCTCTCCTACTGATGTTCAATATCAGTATGTAGCAGCGACGTGCAGTCAGTGGAGGCAGGGGAGGCAGAGCCTCCCCTGTCATACTCCAATATAACGGAAAAACAACTAAAGAAAAACGAAATAATAATAATAATAAAATGTCTCCACTGATCTGTGTTGTAAGTGTGATTTATGTATGATTCTAATCGCTTTTTACAGTCAAAATCAGCAAATTTGCCGAGCTCCGCTACGGGAGCGATGACAAGTGAGGCAGGCACGTGCTCTGCCTCTCGTAAGCCCACAGTAACTTGCTGGAGCACAGGCACTAATTTAGCGCGGGCACTTATTTTGTGAGCGCGCTCAAGCCGCCAGTTACTGTGGGCTGAGTTGAGGCACAGATGAGCTCTGCCTCACCTCAGAATGCGTCACCCCACAGAAACTGGCTGGAAAGCGGGCCCTAAGCGCATGCCTGTTACCATCTCACTGTAGGTCACCAATGTAATGTATGTAGATCCCTTTATTACATTTATCTTCGCCATCCATAGTCTCTAAATAACTTATTTCACGTATATATGATATTTAGTTCCGCTGGTCTCAACGGCAATGAAAATGCACCAGGGGAGGCAGCCATAACCTCTGCCGCACTGAAGGGGGCGCACGTGAGCCCACAGGTTCTTGTTGCTACTGTAATTCTACGCAGAGACGGTAGACGTAACCATAGATATATATAAACACATGTAAAAACATGTTTATATATATCTATGGACGTAACAACAAACTAGACTTTTGAAACTACAGGAAGATAAGGAGGACTTTTACAAAAAAGTAATAGAGATTGTTGTCCAGAAGGATAGCATGGACTTCATCTTCAAGTCAAGGTAAGACCACATTTGTAATGAAAATGGGATCTTACTAAGAAAGAACAATCCAATATTTAGATTTTGGGTATCCTTTTGTTGAACGGTCTGTTTAAAATGAATCGAAGCATCAGACTAAAAAAGCTTTTGAAAATAACCGAATATTTTGATTAAGGTCAAAATATAATATTTGTAAATCTGACTCAGTGAGTCAGTGCCTCACCAGCCATGAACCTCACCGCACGTCACTGGTATGTAGTGTCTCTACTTTAAAGAGTCCTCTCCTGCTGATGTTCAGGTGTATATCAGTATTCAGTGTCTCTACTTTAAAGAGTCCTCTCCTGCTGATGTTCAGGTGTATATCAGTATGTAGTGTCTCTACTTTAAAGAGTCCTCTCCTGCTGATGTTCAGGTGTATATCAGTATGTAGTGTCTCTACTTTAAAGAGTCCTCTCCTGCTGATGTTCAGGTGTATATCAGTATGTAGTGTCTCTACTTTAAAGAGTCCTCTCCTGCTGATGTTCAGGTGTATATCAGTATGTAGTGTCTCTACTTTAAAGAGTCCTCTCCTGCTGATGTTCAGGTGTATATCAGTATGAAGTGTCTCTACTTTAAAGTGTCTGGAGGGAACACAGGGATTTTTGCCTTTGCAGAACATTTACATGCACTAAAATCTATATGCGTAGATTCTAAATCATATCAATAGTTTCTTCATTTATTTCGTCATGCAAGTATCGTGTACTTTAGATTATTGCATGTTTAAATTTTAGACTCACAAGCGTGCACTCATGGTCGCGCTACTGAAACGGGAGGGGAAGGGTTAAACCTTAACGGAAGAGAGCAGGAAATGGTGTGTGTGTGTGTGTGTGTGTGTGTGTGTGTGTGTGTATATGTATATGTGTGTGTGTGTGTGTGTGTGTGTGTGTGTGTGTGTGTGTGTGTGTGTGTGTGTGTGTGTGTGTGTGTGTGTGTGTGTGTGTGTGTGTGTGTGTGTGTGTGTGTGTGTGTGTGTGTGTGTGTGTGTGTGTGTGTGCTTGTCGTCAGTGGCGGAGTCGATCACTCTGTGATCCGCTCCGTCACAACGTCATCAGTGTAATCAATGAGAAATCTTACCCTGGCTTTCCTGCTGCTCTTCCAGGTGTAGCTGATGGAGGCGTAGGAAGCACCATCTTCAGGATCAGCCTACACAAATAAAATGTATTATTATTGTTGCAGTGAAGAAAAAATAACATTTGCTACTGTATGTAACATGCAGCGTTAAAGTGACCTACTATTATTCCCATTTCATTGAATTCTAGTTGCTGTATAGGTTTCATCGTATTCAACATCCATGCATTGTAATCAATGGCAACAGAGCAAAGAAAATACTGCCATTATTATACCTTTAACCCTGTGGTCCTTTTGAGACTGTTGTGTGTGTTGAAAAAAAAGTAAATAATATAATATTTAAACTCACCACGTTGTCATCGGTCTGGGTTTCATTCCCTAAACAGAATAAAAAAGAAAGTTGGTTTTAGCTTCAACATTTAAAATCCATGTTTATCAAAAGCTTCTTGTTTATAAAGTATATGTCAAGGGGTGAACTCAGAGGCATGAACCCAAATGCACAACTCAGACTCAGACTCAGATGGTTTCAAAAATAAAGTACTTTACTGGATATTTCACAGTAACAAAATAGAGAACACAAAATCACTCTTTCGAGGAAAACTAAATACTACCATAAGGAGCTTGAAACAAAACAACAGACGTGGATCAGGCTTGAAAGTACGCTGGTATGTCGAGTCATGAGAGAAGACGAACTGGCACAGGACAGGTGGAGACTAAGACCATTTATAAAACGGACAAGTCAAATCAAGCAATCTGATTGGTTCTTAGCCGTGATATACTGAGCGTATACCACGGGTAGAATTGTAAGTTACTTTTCACAACAAGTCAGTATCCCTCCGCGTCTGAGATAAACAGTATACAGTTGGGCTGAAAAGCAAACTGCTTGCAGTTTGCTTTTCAAACTGGAACAAGAAAACAGCGGAGAAGTAACGGGGCAGAAACCCTCCTTTTTACGCAGCGGTCCAGACATAGACATCAAACGGCAAAAACATATTCAGTGTGCAGTTCCTTTGGCATTAGGGCAGGGATATTTAGATACTTTCCAAGGTTTGACATCATGAATTGCGCTACTTTTAAAGCAAGCAACGATGTTTTCAAATCTGTAATCAAAAAGGTCCGCAAAAACATTTAAGATTAACTTCGACCTCCGGGGTGGCCTTACTATGGAGGAGTGGATTGAGGAGTGCGAGTGCCTATCTCCAGAACAAAAAGCACCTAAACGACATGTAGAGCTACGTGAAGAGCAGGTAGTAGACCAACTGGAAAAGTACCACCATTCAAAAGCTTTCTGATGCAGGTCTTGAAACAAAGCAGAGAAATGATGACCGTTAGTGGCCACAGGTGCGAAAGCTCTCTCCAGAGCTACTGGAAGCCCAATCTCGGGGACCGGAGAAAGTGGAGCAATATTCTCGCCACGCCAAGCAACAGCCTAGAACAACCTCAGCCTATACAAGTAACCACGTAAGCCATGCTACTGATGCTGGACAGTTTTTCAGTGGGTGCACAATAAACGGCAACATACACATTAATGTAAATAAATAGCCAAATAATGGATCAACGCTCTCTGTCTAATATGTTCGCTAGCTGTTGTTAGTGTTGTTGCATAGCAACCACCTCGCACTATGTTTCGTGCAGAAGGCAACGGAGGGACTATTTTGTTTTGAACATCATTATTTACTAATAACAACTATTTAAATTAGAGTGTGTATTTTTCTTTCATATTGCCACACTTGGTAACCGTTTTATAAAAGCTAAGGGGGTTGTCGACCCTCCGCTTCGCGTCGGGCCGAACCACGCCCCTTAACTGTGATATAATGGCCATATATCACGGCCTGTCGTGAGCTATTGCTTAAATATACACACAAGGTAAGGGGCACAGGGGGAAACAATCAGGGCGGGGTAGACAATCACAAATGCAGGAGACACATAGGGACGGGGAGCACAGTGACCTGAAACAAGAGGGAGAATAACTTTTCAAAATAAAACAGGAAGGCACAGGACAAAGGGACATGACAAAGGCACATGACAAAGGGACATGACAAAGGGACATGACAAAGGGACATGACAAAAGGACATGACAAAACTAATTTAAAGAATACAACTTTAAAATGATCTTTCGAGACATGACAGTATAATGTGTGAATGTCCTCACCTTGAGTCCTCTTCCGTCTGATGACAGCCACAGTGATTATTGTGAGTGCTGCAACACCCACAGTCACAACGATGATCCACCACCACCAACCTGGAAGAGAGAAGTTAGAAGAGTTACATATACTCAGAGGTTTGTATCTCCTTATCTTTAACATCTGGATGAACAACTTGTATTTTGGCTACGTTTATTTTCTAACTGTTAATATCTCTGTTCTTTCACTACCTGGATGTTTCCCGTCTTGTTCTGATTGATTGTTGTTGTTTTCAGATGCAGTTTTGGTCGTCTCTTCTGATGAGCTCATTGTCTCTTGTTCTGATGTAGTTGTCATTTCATCATTACCTTAACAAATACAATAGAAAAATCATAGAATTCTCTTATAGTAAAACTTTAGATACAAATAATATATATTGTGTAACATCCACATGTGTTTTTAAACAGTTGATCATAACCTCACCTGGGGGCTGAGGGGGGCTGAAGGTGAACAGCTGTTTTATTTCATTGTAAGTGTACATCACCTGACATTTAAACAACCCACGATAGATTGGCTTCTCCTTTGAAGAGCTAGAAAATGTAACAGCAGCTGAGCAGTCAGTCCGTGATGTCTGAATGTCTCTGTTATCTTTAACCACATTTTGATCCTCATACAGCCACTCTACTGTGTGTATACACCGTCCATATGACAACACAGAGCAGTTCAACGTCACCTCATCATTGTCCTGATGCTCAGTCACTGAAGATAGAGATATTGTGAGAGAAAGACAACAAGAGTAACATTAACTTCATCCCTGTAATCATTATTATTGTAATGTTACAAGAAATGGTTTCAACAAGACTGTTATGATGTAAATACTCACTGGTAACAACAGACAGATAAACCCAAGAGGTTGGACCTTGTTGTTTTCCTGATCTGAACTGTCTGCAGAGGTAAAGACCAGCATCCTCCTCTGTGACCTTCTTTATAACCAGAGAACATTTCTCTGTTACTCTCAGTCTGTCTGATTTAGCTTTGGCTTCGTTGAGAATCGTCCCGCCTTCAAACAGCGTCACTGCTGGTGTGTTTGGTGCATAACTGACGTACCAGGTAGTACTGTCACACTTATCCTGATCATGTATCACATTTGTAAAAGGCAAAGTGACTTCATCTCCAGCTCTGACAATGCGAGAGTAATGTTTCATTTCTGCAGCTGTTGGAGAAAAGAGTGATGATCTTTTTAGATACGGACGCTTTTCTAATTCCTCTCTATGTGGGTTTGAGTATCCAAGAGTTCACTAAAGTCACCACGTTACAAACACAACTCATCATTCTCAGTTAAAGGAACAGTACGTAGTAAAGCACCGTTAGTGATATTAAAGCTGTTTTATTTAAAGTGTGTTTTCTGCATCCTCACCTGGAAAGTGGAGCAGCAGCATCAGGAATGAAGACATTATGATCCTTCTGAATTCAGACATCGTGCTTCTCTCTCGGTCTCTGGCTCTCGACTGTCAGAGTCTCTGACCGGCTGCTTCTTTCTTTCTCTTCTGAGAACTGAAGAAGTGTTTCTGTGAGGATGTGGTTAATAACAGCAGCAGCAGAGCTCTGGAGGTGTTACCCTCTGATGCCGACCAGATAAGGTAAGAGCAACAAGCAGAACAATGCAGAGTGATGTACACGTAGTAATATAGAATATATATACTTTATATATAACAACAGGAGGTGGATATGAATATACCTTAATGTATAAATGAATATGCAGTGATAACAAAAGGCAGTGTTGTTGATCAGTGGAGTCACTAGTGAAACTGTGTACTTTAAGAACACACCTGATGTTTAGAGAATGTCATATTAGGAAAAACCATACCAATAAATACATCTGCACTCTTGTAAGGCTAATAGATCACTTTATTTAGTAAAGTACAAAACAGTCAAATGTACTGAAGAAAAAGCAATACTCCATTGAATTATATGAAAGAAAAGACTGTAATAAAAAAGCCAGAATCCACTTTACAAAACCTTCATTATGCCCACACTGTAAGTATTTAGAATACAGTAAATCTCCAACATGTCTGCCCCTGTCTCACGATCCACCTCTAGAGGGACTCACATGTTTTGCTGTACTCTCACTTTGATGCAATTAAGCCAAACAAAGCAAAAACCTGGTCAATATAAATCTCATTATAACTCTGCTCGCTTTGACTTTGTAATATGGTTATAACAATTGTGCCATAGTTTAAAATACAGCATTAAACTGTATTATTTTTTTGGTTTGTTGATGGTGGCAAAGAGGAGGCTGGGATCAGTGGAGGCAGCAGAGGAAGAGGAGGGAGCTCTCACAGTGTAGGTCACTTCACCATCTTCATCATCATCATCATGAGCCTGCAGGGAAAGAAAACTGATTATGCATAATGGAGTTCTGAAAGTCCTGCTTTTTGCTGCCATTAAACAACTTAAAGGGGCCCTATCCTGCTGATGTTCAATATCAGTATGTAGTGTCTCTACTTTAAAGAGTCCTTTCCTGCTGATGTTCAATATCAGTATGTAGTGTCTCTACTTTAAAGAGTCCTTTCCTGCTGATGTTCAATATCAGTATGTAGTGTGTCTACTTTAAAGAGTCCTCTCCTGCTGATGTTCAGGTGTATATCAGTACTGTATGTAGTGTCTCTACTTTAAAGAGTCATCTCCTGCTGATGTTCAGGTGTATATCAGTATGTAGTGTCTCTACTTTAAAGAGTCCTCTCCTGCTGATGTTCAGGTGTATATCAGTATGTAGTGCCTCTACTTTAAAGAGTCCTCTCCTGCTGATGTTCTGGTGTATATCAGTATGTAGTGTCTCTACTTTAAAGAGTTCTCTCCTGCTGATGTTCAAGTGTATCAGTGTGTGTGTGTGTGTGTGTGTGTGTGTGTGTGTGTGTGTGTGTGTGTGTGTGTGTGTGTGTGTGTGTGTGTGTGTGTGTGTGTGTGTGTGTGTGTGTGTGTGCACTGTAAAAAAAGATCGTAATTTTACAGGAAATAACTGTAAATCTTTAGAGTAATTATCATGTTTTTTTAAATAACTTGCAAAATCCTGTAAAATGACAGATATTAACTATAAATTAACAACCCAAAACATTATTTTCAGTATTTTGACAATAACAACAAATAACGATTATTTCATTTTTTTTTACAGTAAATTTACTATATAATATTTACAGTATTTTTGCACTTTCAACTCGTAATATAAAAGTGTATTACTATTATAAGACTTTAAGATATTTCTTTGTAATTTTAAGGTAAACATAAAACTGTAAAAAAAAAGCGTCAAACAAAAAAAACGTAAAATGTAAAGTAAAACATTTTTACATAAATAATTTTCTCAATATTCGATTGAATCCACCACAAACACAAAATATCCAATGTTGAAACAAAAGTAAATAAATATGTTTTCATTAAATTCCTAACTTACTATATTGTAAACATCTACAGTTGACAATATCATTAAAAAAAATAAAAATCTTAGAAAGTGGAGAAATCTCTGCAGGGAGGACCAAGGTTTAAAACACACACTGTTATTTACTCAACAATAAGTCACAGTTATCCTTGTTTTATTTATGTGTTCTGTTGCTGTGTTTTTTTTCCCATTGGTCAATATACAGTAATAAGCCTTAGTCTTACATGCAGTATAATGTGCATGGTTTTCGGATTCTGGCCGACAGCCAGAGCTACGGCGCTTGAAATGGAATTCAGCCATAACACGGCAGACAAGTCAGGCATGTTTGGAATGAGTCCACAACACTCCTGATTGGTTAATATAAACGTAATCGAAGAAACCTGCCAATGAGAACTGTCTGCGCCTGTCGTTCACATTTGAAACATTCACGTCAGTTAGAGCGGGTCTCCTCCTGCGGAGCTACAGCTGTCTGCCCCTTTCACACCGGCGCTTTTCCAGCTCCGGCTCGGAGCTGCAGGAGTTTATGGATTAATGGATTAATATCGGGATCGTTTTACATCTACACGTTAAATATGAGCATCGGGACGTCAACAAAGAACAGAAGACTTGAGATCTGCTGAGTCCTGCAACTGTAATGGAGTTAAACATGTATTTAGATAATCCTTAGTTTGTGAATGTTTTATTTTTTATTTAAGGTTACGTTTCTTCTTCTAGTTAGCTGAGTTTGCATCATTAATAGGTTGTTAAATGTTAAGAAGCCCTGAGATGCTGTTTCTTGCAAGATGTTGCGCCCGGGAAACCTAGTTTAACAAGGTGGCTGCTAACGTTAGCTTACAGCTTATTGCAGTGCTGCCGCTCCACCTCTCGTCTCCAACACGGGAGAATTACACATAAACATGCAGCGGGGTGTCACAGTGTTGTCGCCAAGTTTAATGTAAAGTTTCACAGCTTTCTTACAGCGGAATCCAGTTTGTTAATGTTCAGTAGCCAACAGCTAGCATAGCATAAACAGCTAACCACTAACGTTCGGCTAACTTGCTAGTTAGCTCTGCTCTATATATTACAAGCTAACATGACTAGCTAATGTCACACTGTGTGAACTAAAATACTTGTTGTATTACTACATCATACATGCTTGGTCCAAATCACTGCTAAAATTAATTATTTTTGAAAATGTATAGTAAATAAACACTCAGCCATGCATGAAATAACATAGCAAAAGAATACGGGCAATGTTTGACCCATGTTGTCCCTTAGAAGTGTAGTGATACAAACATGATTTTTATTCAAAAAGTAAGAAAGTAAAAATTAGAATCTTCCCCCTCGAAATCCCAGTTGTACTTCCTAACACGCAGTGCCTGGGAGGGTGCGTTTGATTGTTCCCACCCTTACCTCATTTATGGACTAGGTCATGTTAGACAAGCAATCCAGTGGTTAGTTTTAGGGTAAGCTCCATTGTTTTTTTTGTTTTTTTATTCACTTTAAGAGAAAGGGATTTCAGAAACAAGTATCACAAGTTTGGCTCGAGGTAAAATTAACAAAAGCTAACTGTTGTTAGACTATGTTCCCCCCTTCTAAACTTATGAAATAATCAATGCCCTTGGGATGCTCTCAAGTGTGTGTGTGTGTGTGTGTGTGTGTGTGTGTGTGTGTGTGTGTGTGTGTGTGTGTGTGTGTGTGTGTGTGTGTGTGTGTGTGTGTGTGTGTGTGTGTGTGCGCCGCCGCCGGCTGTCAGTGGCGGAGTCGGTCACTCTGTGATCCGCTCGGTCACAACGTCATCAGTGTAATCAATGAGAAATCTTACCCTGGCTTTCCTGCTGCTCTTCCTGGTGTAGCTGATGGAGGCGTAGGAAGCACCATCTTCAGGGTCAGCCTGCACAAATAAAATGTATTATTGTTGTTGCAGTGAAGAAAAAATAACATCTGCTATGTAACATGCAGCGTTAAAGTGACCTACTATTATTGCCATTTCATTGAATTCTAGTTGGTGTATAGGTTTCATCGTATTCAACATCCATGCATTGTAATCAATGGCAACAGAGCAAAGACAATACTGCCATTATTACACCTTTAACCCTGTGGTCCTTTTGAGACTGTTGTGTGTGTTGAAAAAAAAGTGAATAATATAATATTTAAACTCACCACGTTGTCATCGGTCTGGGTTTCATTCCCTAAATAGAACAAAAAATAAAGTTGGTTTCAGCTTCAACATTTAAAACCCATGTTTATCAAAAGCTTGTTGTTTGTAATAATGTGTGAATGTCCTCACCTTGAGTCCTCTTCCGTCTGATGACAGCCACAGTGATTATTGTGAGTGCTGCAACACCCACAGTCACAACGATGATCCGACACCACCAACCTGGAAGAGAGAAGTTACAAGAGTTACCTATACTCAGAGGTTTTTATCTCTTTGTCCTTAAACTCTGAATCAACAACATGTATTTTGGCTACGTTTATTTTCTAACTGTTGATATGTCTGTTCTTTCACTACCTGGATGTTTCCCGTCTTGTTCTGATGTAGTTGTCATTTCATCATTACCTTAACAAATACAATAGAAAAATCATAGAATTCTCTTATAGTAAAACTTTAGATACAAATAATATATATTGTGTAACATCCACATGTGTTTTTAAACAGTTGATCTTAACCTCACCTGGGGGCTGAGGGGGGCTGAAGGTGAACAGCTGTTTTTTTCCTTCATAGTTAGTGTTCATCACCTGACATTTAAACAACCCACGATAGATTGGCTTCTCCTTTAAAGAGCTAGAAAATGTAACGGCAGCTGAGCAGTCTGATGTCTGAATGTCTCTGTTATCTTTAACCACATTTTGATCCCCATACAGCCACTCTACTGTGTGTATACACCATCCATTTGACAACACAGAGCAGCGCAACGTCACCTCATCAGTGTCCTGATGCTCAGTCACTGAAGATAGAGATATTGTGAGAGAAAGACAACAAGAGTAACATTAACTTCATCACTGTAATCATAATTATTGTAATGTTTCAAGAAATTGTTTCAACAAGACTGTTATGATGTAAATACTCACTGGTAACAACAGACAGATAAACCAGAGAGTCTGAACCTTGTCGTCCTGATCTGAACTGTCTGCAGAAGTAAAGACCAGCATCCTCCTCTGTGACCTTCTTTATAACCAGAGAACAATTCTCTGTTACTCTCAGTCTGTCTGATTTACCTTTGGCATCGTTGTGAATCTGCCCGCCTTCAAACAGCGTCACTGCTGGTGTGTTTGGTGCATAATAGAAGAGCCAGGTAGTACTGTCACACTTATCCTGATCATCTATCACATTGTCACAAGGCAAAGTGACTTCATCTCCAACTCTGACAGTCAAGAAGGAATATTCCCCATTTGCTGCTGTTGAAAAAACAGTTCACTAAAGTCACCACGTTACAAACACAACTCATCATTCTCAGTTAAAGGAACAGTACGTAGTAAAGCACCGTTAGTGATATGAAAGCTGTTTTATTTAAAGTGTGTTTTCTGCATCCTCACCTGGAAAGTGGAGCAGCAGCATCAGGAATGAAGACATCATGATCCTTCTGAATTCAGACATCGTGCTTCTCTCTTGGTCTCTGGCTCTCGACTGTCAGAGTCTCTCACCTGCTGCTTCTTTATTTCTCTTCTGAGAACTGAAGGGGAGGTGTTTCTGTGAGAATGTGGTTAACATCAGCAGCAGAGCTCTGGAGGTGTGACCCTCTGATGCTGACCAGATAAGAGCAACAAGCAGAACAATGCAGAGTGATGTACAGAATATATATACTTTATATATAACAGCAGGGGGTGGATATGAATATACCTTAATATATAAATGAATATGCAGTGATAACAAAAGCCAGTGTTGTTGATCAGTGGAGTCACTAGTGCATGGGCTCAGAACAGTCTCATAATACACACATGCACACAGAAGGATTCACACTTGTATTTCCGGATCCACACTTGTGTTTTTCAATGCACACACAAATGTGTTCCGTTTCATATACATGTAAATAAAATCCAAATACAGAAAAAAGTTTTACATATGTATTTTTGATCCTCACATATTTGTTTTCCATTTAAAACCGCTGCACCTACAAACACAAACCGCTTTCTGTGCACGGATCGCTGTGCATTCGTGTGTGGGTTTTTTGAGACTCCCCTGACGGTCACCCGATTCGTACTTGTAATTGTTTCTATCTATAGCCAATCAGATGTCTCCTCAATTCTAAGCCAATCACATGAGCGCGCCCCCACGAGGGTAGATTTCTTGCGTTCATGACGTAGCGCTTCATGTACGTATTTTGCGCTGTCCGGAGCTGACAGGTCCATGGAGCCTGCCTGCAGGCGCTAATCTCAGGACACCTCCACTCTCAGTACAGTGCCACTTTCCGAGCAGGAAATGCACGCAAATACAAGCCTTTATATTATTAAGGTACAGCGCCACTTTCCGAACCATTAATGAATGCTTGTGTACATAAAAACGGCAGGCAAAACCGTTTTAAATGTGTGTTTCCTGTATGGCGAATACAGCTGCTTTATTTATGTCTGCATGAAGTTGTTGTGAGTGTGGAGGGAGCAGCTACAGGTTAGCTTAGCCTAATCGATCAGTGCACTACGAAGCCAGTGCTAGACAGTGAACTGTCAACGGGGGGAGCCCCGCCGGTCATTATCGGCCGATATTCACTCTTAATAGTTTGATCGGTGCTCTCTATAAAGGCCGATCAGGAGAGCTGGATCTGATCGATATGGACATAAACGCGAGAGAAGTTTTAGCGAGCTGCATGAGAAACTGACTGGCTGTCAGGAGAGAGGGAGGGAGAGAGGAAAAAAGAGATGATCCTTACTCCCGTGTTATTAGCCATATCCGGTCATAGTGGTAATTACCTGCTAACGGATACTCTGCTACACAATTCTTCTTCTTATTATTATTATTGAAACAAGACCGGTAAGTTTCAAATTTGTCCGGTAAAATAAATTCTGTCCGCGGAAACCCAGCTCCGGACAGCGCAAAATGCGTATATGAAGTGTCATGAACGCAATAAATCATACCGTGGGGACGCGCTCATGTGATTGGCTTAGAACGAAGGAGACATCTGATTGGCTATAGATAGAAAAAATTACAAGTACGAATCGGGTGACCGTCAGGGGAGTCTCAAAAAACCCACACACGAATGCACCGCAATCCGTGCACAGAAAGCGGTTTGTGTTTGCAGGTTCAGGGGATTTAAACGGAAAACAAATATGTGAGGATCAAAAATACATATGTAAAACTTTTTTCTGTATTTGGATTTTATTTACATGTATATGAAACGGAACACATTTGTGTGTGCATTGAAAAACACAAGTGTGGATCCTTTTGCGGATCATGAAATACAAGTGTGAATCCCTCTGTGTGTATTATGAGACTGTTCTGAGCCCATACTAGTGAAACTGTGTACTTTAAGAACACACCTGATGTTTAGAGAATGTCATATTAGGAAAAAACATACCAATAAATACATCTGCACTCTTGTAAGGCTAATAGATCACTTTATTTAGTAAAGTACAAAACAGTCAAATGTACTGAATTAAAAGCAATACTCCATTGAATTATATTAAAGAAAAGACAGTAATAAAAAAGCCAGAATCCACTTTACAAAACCTTCATTATGCCCACACTGTAAATAGTAAGAATACAGTAAATCTCCAACATGTCTGCCCCTGTCTCACGATCCACCTCTAGAGGGACTCACATGTTCTGCTGTCCTCTCACTTAGATGCTATTAAGCCAACAAAGCAAAAACCTGGTCAATATAAATCTTATTGTAACTCTGCTCGCTTTGACTTTGTAATATGGTTATAACAATTGTGCCATAGTTTAAAATACAGAATTAAACTGTATTATTTTTTGCTCTGATTGGTTAGCTGGCCAGCTCTGTTGTGATTGGTCAACCGCTTAGAGATGTCCCGCCCCTTAGCCTATCACGTATAATGTGTTGGAGCGCTAGCCAATAGGAGTACGAGTATTACATTCTGATGTCAGACTTTTCACCAAACCCGATATAACAAACTTCAGGAAAGAATGAATAGGGCCTCTTTGAAAAGTTGAAATACATCAGTCATGTTTTTGCATTTACTTACTTTAAAAACAGTTGTCTTACCGTAGCATCTCTCCTGTAAAATGTAAGAGGCTGGATATGAAAAACCTCTCGAACACATAAAGTCTCCTCCTATCAGGAAACAGTTCCTCCTGATTGGTCCCTTCCCTCCAAAAGCAATAAAGAATGAATTGAAAAGACGGCGGTATTGTTTTTATCGTGTCGGGACAGAGCGGAGGTGATAAAGATGAACAATTGTGCCAAACTATCTTTTCTTTTTCCTGCTTTCCCACAGCGGCACCTCAGACTGATAACAGAAACATGGCAGAGAGATAAGACGGAGAGAATAAGTCAAATGAGTGAGGAACAAAGTGGCCTGTGTGTCTGTGAGGAAAATATACTCCATTATATTTCCTGTAAAACAGACAGAATCTAAATGCGTAAAATGTGTCAATGGACTCATTTTATAACTTGAATTATAATAGAAAGAGTTACGATTTGTATATACAGTAAAGTGGTCAAAACTGTGGCAAATCATTACATATATAGTCATTTATTCTAATAACTTAATTATGTGTTTAGTAGCCGTACATGTTCACGAGCTAAGGATTACCCTAAGGAGACATTTAAACAATTTTTGAGGAATTCTTTACTAGTTAAAGGTCCCCTATTATACTGTTTTTAATCAATATATTATAGGTCTCAGATATATACAGAACCTGTCTCTGATTGGCTGAAACACCAAACAGATCATTGCAGCATCCCATAATCCCCTCTGTTTCAGCCCTGTTTCAAAAGTGCTGATTCTCTGGGTGTTTCTCAATGTCGAGTACGCTTGCTTGGTAGCACATGTCTTCCGAGTCACTTGCTTCAGAAGCGAGGCAAGAATCCTTCCTAGCCTCGGAAAACGAAGAATGGTGGAACAGGCTAACAGGTGTGCGTCATATGCGAGGCCCCGCCTTAAATGGAGCGCGATTTCCGCCAAAGATTTGGAAATACACATGTGCAGCCTCGAAATTTCCCGCAACGAAGTACGCCGGCCTCGGTAGAATTCCAAGTATGCTGGACATTGGAACAGTCCTTCGGCGGCACTCGATGACGTAGTATCCTTGAAATAGTGGCTCTGGAGCAGCCTTCCTCGACATTGAGAAACACCCTCCGTCTGTTACTTTAGATGAAAATAAGGAGCCACTCCCCACGCCCCTCTGAGAGATATTTGGTTAAAAAGAACACTAGCCGCGTTCACACCAAGTACTTTGCCGTACTTAGTGCCCCGGCACCCAGGGCACTTAGTACAGATCGCGTTCACACCGGTATAAACTCCCTGAGGGAAGATTACGCAAATGAGCCGCTGACCACTTCACGGCGTATACTGCCACCCGAAGTCCCCGGCCAGAAGTCCCCGGAGTTGGGGAAGGCTTCAGTAGAAGCTGCTGGGACTCCCAGCAGCTTCTACTGAAGCCTTCCGAGTAAATCGCCAGAATGCCGACACCTCCTCATCTCCACCGCTCCCATGTTTTCTTTTGTGTTGCCATAAATTAGTCTCTCTGCGTTTGTGAGCTGGGCGAATGCTAATGCTAATAATGCTAATGCGAGGATAATAAAATGGCGGCTCTACAAAACATTTCAGAGTTGTACGGGGCGTGGTTTGCAATTCGCCCAGCCAATCAGAACTGGGGCACTTTTTTCCCCCAGGAAAGTACCATCTCTCAGCAGGCACTACAAATGGGGGTAAAAGTTCCCGGCACTCAGTACTCTTTTTGGTGTGAACGCGACATAAGGGGTACTAACGGAACTAAACTCGAAAAGTACGGGGAAAAGTACTCCGGTGTGAACGCGGCTATTGGTGCTCTAGGAGGAGATTCAGGTGATAAGGTGTGGGGATCAGCTCATTTTCAGATGTATAAGAGACATGAACAAGTGGATTTTGCATAATAGGTGACCAGGCTAAAATATTATTTGGTCTATTTTAGCCTTTTTTGTCTTCATTATATACCTGGGTTACAATAGGTAGAACGTATCATAACACTCAAGAGGATAATAATCAGTAGGAATTGCAGTAAATGAATACAAAAACCTTAATTATTTTGTATTATGACGAAAAAATGCTTCAAAAAAGACTTTAAAAAACACCACGTATTAAAAGATTTTTTTATTCACAATAGAAGTGTAACAAATATAGTTTCTTAAAAAGTCTGCTGCTTATTAATATCATTTTAATCCATAAGATCAGAAGATTTTTATATAAATGTAATTCGGCTCATTAGCCTCAATGGAATATTTACACTTTTTTTTCAATAATAATAATAACATTAACACAACAAAACAGATTTTCCCCACAAAATTAAGATATTGCATATAAACGCAAAGTAAACTATGTGCAATGGAATGATTATCAGCAATATTTTGTACAGATACATTTCTGAGGTTCACTCATTCAAACCTTTTAAAGGGCAACGCGGACCATTTTTTACATCCAGATGAATTCAGTCGTGTTTGGTGAACACTCGTGATTAAAGTAAAGATTCAGAGTGATATAAATTA